TTCATATGATTTATTGTGACCACATAGTTGTATGTCTAGGAATAACGAATGTGAAACTAGAATTAACTAGAAGATAGGTAAGTTAATGTGTGAGATTGTTTGATGAACATCAGCAAGAGGTTAATTGAAGGGCCAATTTAATTAACCATTACAAGTCTTATTTAACCCGAATCAATAACTAGGAAATTCGTTAATTTAGACAACTGGCCACTGCTTGAGTTAATTTGTTTCCTAAGGATTAGTAATAGCAAACGTGAAACTAATCATCTTAGTCGGTAGCCAATGAAGAATTAATCCGATACATTGAAATCATCCATGGGAACAAATGAGTCGAACCTAAACAGAAGTCCTCTTTATTATTGAATTTAGTTGATTTTTATTTGCTTAGCTCTTAGTTTCTTAGTTTAAGTTTTAGTTAATTGTTTAAGTTTCTAGTCTTGTAAAACTAGAGAAAACCCCCTTTTTGTTATTTGTTTTATTTAGATAATATTAGCATTTATTTTAATTGTTTACCGTTCCCTGTGTTCGATACCCTACTTGCTTGAACTATATTACTAATTGATAGGTACACTGCCTTTTGTGTGTTTATTTTGTGTCTAAGTTAGTAGGATTAAAACTAGTTGGTTTTACACACATCAATGATGATGATGATGATGACGATGATGATCAGTAGTGGTTTGTTGGAAAAACAAGTAGTGTTTTGGTAGGCTGTATGTTTCATCAGGGAATGGGAGATGGAGATGACCAGGATGGTTAACATCTTCATAATTTTTAATGGTTTTGCCAAAACCCGAGCCTCATAAATTGGGAATTAGCTACATACTATATATATATATATATATATATATATATATATATATATATATATATATATATATATATATAAAGGAAAGGAATTGTAAAAGTAAAAATGATTTAATTAGCGACAGTTGGAGGGGGCATTCTTACGTAATCTAGATGGGCATAGTAGAGACATTTATCGCATTTGTAAATCTAAAGATCATCCTTACCTACAAAATCACCACCACATACTCTGCATCTGGGAAAATGTTTAGCTTTTTGATCTTTCAAGGGGAAGGAATATGAAATGGTGAGGCAATGGATATGATAAATAGAATGATTTGGTGTTCTTTCTTGGATGAACAAATTTTTTGGTAGGAAAGCACATTCACTGTGTATTGTGAAGTTAGTACAAATGGTACATTGAAAGAAGATCCCTTCATGTCTTTTCCCACAAGCCTTGCAGCAACACAAAATGGGTTCAGTGATTGTACACATGAGCGAGTAAGGGTGGCATGGATGATGGATCACATTTTTTCCTACTTCCACAGCACACTTGAGATCAATGTGGAAATCACATATAACACATTGGTATAATAGTTCTCTAGGCTTGTTATTTCTCTTACAAAAATTGCATACCCAACGATATGAATCTGCAAGTGAATATGGAAGTCGTAGCAGGTGAAGAGTATGTGATGGGTGTGATGGGTGTTCTAACCTTGATGGGAGCTCACCACAGAATTTGTGATGTGAGAAATAATTACATGATGTTGATGATGATGATGATGAATCTCCAATAGCCATAATACATTTGTAGTAGTACCTGTGGTACATATGGATTTCTTCCCTACACGTCCAACATGTGACACCTCCAATGCCCACTTTTTTGTAATCGGATAACCACCCTCATCTTCTTCTTCATCCTCCTCTTCTTCTTCATATTGTAGCTACAAATCAATGAGCTTTGGTGGATGTGAGTGTTCACGTACCTTCATGCTAATCATATGTCTCTTTATCATAATGATCATGTTATATCTTATTTATAGAAAAGAAAGAACATATACGTGTGCCAAATTCACAAAACTTAGCGGGACTCATTTTTATTTTATCTATGTTTTTTTATCTTTTGCTTTTTCTAATTTGTTATTCCAGAGAAGAAATCAAATCGGTGAGATTTTTCAAAACTGGTTTCTCATAGTACGTAAGGAATAAGTCCCAATTTTAGATTAATCTAGATCTGGTTTCATGTTTTGTTCCTTTTTAGTTTAATACGTACGTAAGGAATAAACTAAAGTATATCTTTAGTACCACCTCTCCTCTCTAATAAGTAAGGAATAATTTAAGTCCCAATTTTAAGTTGTGCATTAGTAATTAGTCTTGTTTTATTAATTGGTATGGAGATGGTTAGAGTTGATTCATATATCATAATTAAATGCGTTTAAAACAAACCAAAGCCAAGCGGTGGAGTTGCCTGTTTTTTATGAGGTTAATCTAATTTAGAAGGTAGAATATATAATAATACGATTATGCAAAAAAGTAACTTGTTTGAGTGTGTGTATGTGTGTGTGTGTGTGTATATATATATATATATATATATATATATATATATATATATATATATATATAGCTATGTTCAATTTTTTCTCACATCTATTGTGTGCTATAATGCACCAATAAAAATTTAGTGAAAATTAAATTATTATTCAATCAAATGGATATATATTAAATGATTCCCATAATTATATGTATATTAAATGATATCCAAAATTATAATACATTTTTTATGGAAACTAGTGAAGTTCGTCATTAATATCAGCAATAATATTCTTTCAGAATGAATTCACATCTAGTTTTTAATGTATGAGTTCATATTTTGTTTCATGACCCTACTCACTCAAAATACAACAAAGTTGTCTGGAACATGTAGAACGCGAGTGTATTCTAGTAGAATGAGAGTTTATTCTAGAAGAATGAGAATATATTTTAGTAGAATGAGAGTGTATTCTAGTAGAATACACTAAATACACCCTCGTTTTTCATATTCCATGCAACTTTGTTGTATTTTAAGTAAGTGAGTCTATAAATAAAACATGAACCCATACATGAAAACCTATATGTGAATTCATTTTGAAAGAATGTTGTTGCTGACATTAATGACGAATTTAATTAGTTTCCATAAGAAAGAGAATTGTAATTATGAATATCATTTAATATACATACAATTATGAAAATCATTTAATATCTATATTTATTTAATTAAATAATTATTTAATTTAACTACATTTCTATTGGTGCAATCTAGTACACAATAAATATAAGAAATACATGAACCTATCTCTCTCTCTCTCTCTCTCTCTCTATATATATATATATATATATATATATATATATATATATATATATATATATGAATAAAACATGATAACATTTTTTTCAAGTTAAATCCTAGAAAATTAGGAACAAAGGTTTATTGTGTTGTATTGTATTTTTGACAGGATTGAGCTAAATAGCCGTGAAGTCAACAAACACCTTGCACACTTCATTTGCAATCAATCAAGATTATTTGGAGCAACTAAATAAAATGAAGTTGTTTCTGTTTTAAAGTGGTCATTTTGCAATCAACTGAAAGTTAGTTTTCAAATGTGAAGGTTTTTTCGGGAAATAATGTTGATGGCTTTTCTGAAACTTGTTTTTGTTTAAAACCAGAAAATTAATACTAACCCTTCTACAAGGGCCAAATAGGAAAGAAAATGCGAAGTCTTTTTAAAAAAAGTAAAACTTGAGGTTTAATCCGGAAAAAAACCTATTATATATATATTGGGTATCACTTATATGTTTAACATTTTACTAATGTTTATTTTTATATTTCATAATTTTTTCAAATTTCTATAGAAAACGCTTTCTGTACTTTCATAAACAACCAAGTAATTTTATTCAAATATTTAGTGCAAATGTTTCAGTATGTTAAAAAAATGTAGAATTCGATTTCAATGACCAAGTACTTAGGGAGGAACTCAAAAGGTTATAACATGTTACTTTCAAATAAGCAGTTAAAACATTCTACTTACATTATACCTTTAATTTTTTTTTTTTTTTTCCAATTTATAGCCCTGAAATTTCTTTGTAATCAAGTGTCGCTGCTTTAATCAACCGAAGAAATATCAAAAAAATGAATCGGTGGTCTCAGGTTTATGTTCTTGAGAGAAATAAATATTTATATATACACAATTTCTCATTTGCCTTTTAGCTTTTCGTTCGGTTATGGTGATGAAATCATATGAACATTATTAAGATTGCCAACAAATCATACACTAAACATTTACCTTGCACACAATCAATAATCAACATTATTATGATCAACTAAAGAAAAGGAAGTTGTTTCTTTTTTAAGATGGCCATTTGCAATTTGCAATCAAATGAAGGCTAATTTTAAGATTACCATTTGCAATTAGATACATTATATGCATTCAAAGAAAAGAAAGACGTTTCTGTTAAAACATTAAAACCGTGATTCTTCTTGAGTGGCTTCAAGCTTGGCACTCCGTACTAGTGTACGCTAGTGTATACGTAAACCAAATCTTCACCTTTGTGGGCTTCAATTTGAAGCTTCATGGGTTGAATTTTTTAGGTTGCGATTTGTTTTCTTTGAGTGGCTGAAGACAGGAGTCAACTTTCTATAGGTTTATGGTTTCACAAAAATCAAGTTGGAGATAGAATCAGACTTTCTTCAATCACGCTATTATAGTCAAAATTGCTATAGTTATCGAAATTGTGAATGTTTATGTTTTTCAATGTAGGTAAGATCTTTGGAGATGGATGTGAAATTGTTAAACATCGGACCATTCTGTTATCAATTTGTGTAGATTTATCTAATGGAAGCCATATCCACTAAAGGGTCGGTGTGTGACTTAGATAATTTGATAAAGTATGTACATATAAAGGAAAAAATAACTTATTTACTTGGTATTATTCATTCGAAATCAATAAACTTACGATTTCTAAAATTATAATTAGTTTTTATTAAAAAAATCTTATACATTGGTTATTTTGATTAATAGGTAATACTAAAAACCGATAACTCTGATACATTTGAAAAGTAAAGTTAAATAAGAATCGATCGATTTTAGGAATAACTCAAAGTATGAATGAATATTCTTGATTGAAATTTCCCATTTTTATTAATAAAGAAAATCATGCAGCTAATTGAGTGAACTCACCAGTCACCAATAGTCTTTACATGAACAACTCCCACCCTCAAAACAATGAAATCTACTCGAATCCCTAACAACAATTTTCCTACTTTCAATTTTAGAGATGTATTGAATAGCAGTATGACAATCAACACAAGTCCTCAAATTCTTAAACACTTTTATCATTGTTCCTGGTGGAGTAACAAGAATCGCAAATGCAATAGCCAATTTCTCACTATGATACGATAAATTTTCCTCCTTTTGTTCCTCTTCTACATCATGAAGCACATGATCTATCTTAGGAACATATCCTTCTTCCCTCATCTTCTTCTGCAACTCCCCTAACAACCCATGAATCTCCTTCAATCTTGGATTTGATGTATCTCCCATCAAAAAAGTATACACCTTTCTCTTAATTTCAGTCCAACTTCTTCCAGGTTTCTTCACAACCCGATTTACATCCATCATCTTTCTAATTTCTGCAACTTCACCCCATTTTCCAGCAGCAGCATAGATGTTGGAGAGTGTGACATAAGTGGCTGCATTTTCAGGCTCTATTTTGAACAATACTTTTGCTGCTTGTTTAGCCAAATCAAGATTCCCATGAATCCCACATCCAGCAAGAACAGAACCCCATAAAAACTTATCCGGTTTCATGGGCATTTTCTTGATTATCTCTTCAGCTTCTATAAACCTCCCAGATCGACTAAGCAAATCAACAACACAAGCATAATGATCAATGGTATAATCCAACCCATGTTTTTGTTTTATGGAATTAAAGTATTCAACCCCTTTATCAACCAAACCTGAATGCGTACAAGCCGAAAGAACCCCAACAAAGGTGATGTGATCAGGTTTAATTCCAGTATCAAGTAATGAATCGAATAGCTTCAAAGCTTCTTGAGGTTTCCCATTTTGGGCATACCCGTTGATCAAAGAAGTCCATGAAGCTAAATCTGGTTTTGGTATCCACTTAAAGACCTTATCTGCAACCTCCATGTTCCCACATTTGCAGTACATATGAACAAGGGCACTTGCTGTAAAAGAAGATTGGTTAAACCCAATGCGTGTCATATACCCATGTATTTGTTTGCCTAAACTTTCTGTGTTATGATGTGCACAAGCATCTAATATCCCTGCAAATGTGAATTCGTTATGAAGAGGAACCCTTGTTCCCTTTTCCCATGTTTGAAATACAGATCAATCATTGATGTCCATGTAACTACGTCTTTATCTGAAGTTTTGTCAAATATGTGTCTAGCTTCATCCAAACTCCCACAATTCCCATACATATCTGATAAAGCACTCTAAACAGCTGCATCAGAATCTATACCTGTACGCATAATATGACCATGGATTTCCTTTCCAATGATTAAGCTTTGAGTTGCTGAAGAAGCTGATAGCGCACTACAAACTGTGAACTTGTTGAGCTTAACATTATAGTCTTTTAGCATTGTTCTACACAACTGTAATGCATCATTGGGAAGATCATGGTGGACGTATCCTGAAATTATTGCAGTCCAAGAAAAATTGTCTCTTTCAGGCATTTCATCGAACAGGTTAGGAGCATCTTTTAGCCGTCCAGCTTTTGCATACCCTGATACCATAGTATTCCAAGAACACACATCCTTCTCTTGCATTTCGTCGAACACTATTCGTGCATCCACAAGACTACCACATTTACAGTAGCAGTCTATAATTTGATTTAAACTCGATGCCCTCGGGAAAAAACCGGATCTTTTTATGTGGGTGTGGACTCTTTTGGTGGCTTCGACGGCTTTCTGTTGAAGACAAAGCTTAAGAAGATTAGAATACACTAATGGAGAAGGACGTTGCATATGATCAAGTACTTGAATTGCTTCTGTTAAACGGTCTCGTTCGCATAGATTAATTATAGCTTCTTCATGTTTGTTTTCTCGGCATAGTCTTTTTACGAGATTATCTTCACTGTTTTGGGATTTGAAGAAAGTTTTTTCAAGATTAGGAGTTTTCAAAAAGGTTTCAGAAGAAGTGGATATAGGTCGTTCACTACAGCCAATGAAAGCTTGAAAATGGCCTCTCGTCAATCTCATGATTTCGTATTGAAACGTCGGTCAAACCGATGGTGTGTAGACCGGAGAAGAAAGACCCTGTAGGCTGCACTCTCGACAACGTTTTGCCAACTGCATGACACATTGACACGTGTAGGATTTTAAGCAAACCGACCTAAACAAAAAAGCAACCACTCGCCCCACTCTTGCCTCACATTTTCAATTTTCAATTTCAAACAAATAGCATTCTCTCTCCGTCACCCGAGATCTGAAATCTACGATCCGCCGTCATCCATGGCTCTCCGACTTGTATACGTTGTGGCGTTCATCTCTGTATCATGCGCTTTCTTCATGATCCTCCACCTTCTCCTCCAGCCTGTCTTCTATTTCACCACCACATGCATACAACCTCCAAGTTTCATTTGATGTCTGAATGTATGCCACCGCAAGCCGCCGCACTTTTATTCGCCGGCGGTAAATCATACTCTGCTTTTTTCCAAATTTAGGTTAAGAGATTAATGATAGTCTGTTGCGTATCGTTACGTTTTTTTTTTATTGAGTTTGATACCTCTAAATCTACAACTTTTTTTTTTTTTTTTTAATTTATTTATTGAGTTTGATACCTCTAGATCTACGTATTTTGTATGAATTCAATTTCATTGTGTATTGAGTTTGATACCTTTAGATCTACAGTTCAGTTTCATTGTGCATGTATGCCTGTATGGATGTTTCCGGCTCGTTTGGAGCCAATCGCGATGATTTTGACATATCATTATAATTGTATCAAATGATAGCTTCATATAACATGAATTATTCTATTCAAACCCGACACTATTGGACTCTAGTTTTGGCTTATTTCACTATTCCTCCAACATTTTTGGGGGATTTTAGTTCATTCTTCATACGGATCATATAACTTGTGCTATGCATACCAACTTCTGCATTGTTTGTTTGTAACAAATCAAAATCTATTTGCTTTTATGATATTTTTTGAATAATCAGATATATCGCTTTATAATGTTAAATTAGTGGAATTATGTTAATGCGACAGAATGTAATCACAATAAATACTAAGTTTGTGAAATAAATAGACGAATATGATTTTTGATGCAGTAATCTTATGTTACGTTTTGGTAAAAAAAAATTGATGTCAAACTATCCTACTCATAACCTCTTATTTTGTAATTATAATAGAAATTTTATGAATAATCGTGCATTTCTTCCGTTTCTATATTTCATTTCATATAGGAAGTATCTAATTCTTATTTGATTTGATGATGTCAATAAATGAACTCAAGTACAATGAATATCTATCAAATTAGTTTTTAATATTTCCTCCTTTTCAAAAAAATGAAAAATTATATTGTTTAATGATGGCAATAACTAAACTCAACCACAATGGATATATAATTATACATCTAACTTATTTAATGGATTTGGTAGAAATCATTAATTTTTTTAATATCATCTACTTAAATTATATATGTATTTTGGTATGGCTCAATCTTTTTTTTTTTTTTTAAATTAAATATCCTTCCATAATTTCCTTCTATTTATCTTCCTATTCACGTTAAATATTGACATATAGATTAGAATATTATTAACATGTAATAATTTCAAATGAGTAGGAGAATGGTAACAAGAAATTATAGGAAGATTTTTTTTAGAAATTAAATATCCTTTTATATTTTTTTTCCTATTCATCTTTTACCTAAGTCAAATGTTAATATATATCACATTTAATGAAATTAATAATATTTTAATTCAATTTTCACCATTTAATATAATAGTATTGTTGCAAACAAAAAAAATGATAAATTGTATTAATTTTCTTTTGAATTAATCACATGATTGTGGAATATATATATATATATATATATATATATATATATATATATATATATATATATATATATATATATATATATATATATATATTAAGCAGATGATATTAAAAAAAAAATAATGACTTCCACCAAATCCGTTAAATAACTATTAAATGCTAACTTGATATATATCTATTGTACTTGAGTTCATTTAGTGACATCATTAAACCATATAAGTCATAGATACTTTCCGTTTGAAACGGAGTAAATGTCCGGTTATTCATAAATTTTCTATTATAGTTACCAAAATGTAACATAAAATTACTACATCCAAAATCATAAACATCTACTAATTTCACAAACTTAATATTTATTGTGATTAGGTCGGTTATGGTTAAACCTGTAGGCTTCACTCAACTCAAACACGACCTGAATTTTGGACGGTGGGTTGTCTCATCATCGCATGAACAAACTGAACAAGACTTGTGCAGACTATAGCCTACTACATAGGCCAGCCCATTGGGCCGAACAGCGACCTAAACATTTTGATTAAGTTTTGGTGTTTTACTCTAATTAAATGATCTTTAAGTATTCTAAATGTTTATAACATCATAGCAAAAAATTTGAAGTTTATAGGTTTATATATTAGCCATAGTTAACTTTACTTAATGTTTGGGAATTATGTTGTAATTCAAAGACATTAAAAGTTATAATTAATATCTATTAATTGTGATATTTTATTATTTTATATTCGTAACTAAAGAGACCTGTGACCATCGTTTTATGTTCTCATGTTCTAACAAATGCTTTGGGACTTTTAAAATTTAAATACATGTCGTATAAGATATATATGGACAATTGTTTGTGGTTTTGAAGTCTTGCTAACATTCTATATTGTTGGGATGATATATGTAACACCCCGTTTATTGAATAAATAAATAAACAAATTAATGAACGAATAGTAGCCCTAAAATCAATAATTATATAGCAAGGGTTGGTCTCGAGGAGTTAATTGTCACAATTTTAGAACTTAAGGTTAAATGTGTAAGTTTCGGGATTTATTTTGTAAAGATTTTCAGAAGACAGGGGGTGGTTTGTATCATTTAGACCTAATATGAAAGGATTTATGGAAGCAGGGGCTAAAGTGTAAATTTTGGACCTAAATTGAAAAGGATTTGTAGAGGGAGGGGCTGCTTGGTAAAATTCGGACATAATTTGTAAATGATTTCAAGAGGCAGGGTTTAAATGGTAAGTTATTGATCTATTTTGAAAGAAAAGGGAAAAGGAGGGGCTATTGTTGTCATTATGGGGTGATGTTTCATGGGAGTCGGATATCTAACCCTCCCGAAACCCTAACCCTAAACCAAACATGGACTTATGGTTATGTATTAGAACCTAATTATTAATTGGGTGTGGTTTTCATGTTGACAGTTCGGGAATATGTCATCCAGCAGCTAGGGTTTTGCCCGCATGACTTCAGCAGTGCGAGATGAGTTATCCTCACTATACTAAGAGCTCAAAGGCACCAATACCGGCCCATTAGATTTGATATCCTAGTAGTTAATGATATGTTGAGTATGGGATAGTGATACATGCTATTTTGCTATGCCAGTTTGGTAGATCTGTAGGATTACCTATGTTATTGTTTGATTATATATATGTGCAATTAGTTGTATATGTAGACATGTTGTGTGGGTTCGGTTGATGTTGCACTGCTTTGTGCGGTGACCAACAAACCCTGGAGTATGTCATATATGAGCTGAGGGTCGGGAGAGCAAACCAGACTCATACTGAGGACTCATTAGCATACCAGATATGAGATGAGGACCAAGTGGTATGCCAGACTCGTACTGAGGGCTTAAGGGTCTTGGAGCATTCCAGTTGCGAGATGAGGGCTAAGAGAGCATGCCAGACTCATACTAAGGGTTGATCAATTATATTTCGGTCTTAGGTCTGAAGAGGGCAAGCTAGTCATAAGTTGTGGGCTCGAAAGCAAACCAGACTTATGTTGTGGGCTCGGAGGCAAACCAGATGTGAGCTGTGGGCCCGAAAGGCAAGTCGGACTCACACTATGGGCCCATGGGTAATAAAGTCTGTAGAGTTGTGGACCCATTACATGTTGTTATTTTGTGTATTATTTATTATGTATCAGTATTTTGAGGGAACTCACTAAACTTTGGGTTTACAGTTTCAATTTTGGTTTCAGGTGCTTCATATAATCGCGGGAAGGCGAAGACGTGATCGTACAACTCTTCACATTTTTATGATTTTGATTTCTAGGATACTCTGACATGAAACTATTTTGAAAACACTTTGTAATTATTAATGATTTTTAATTTGTTGAAAAAGTTTTAAATTGGCTTGAATTTTATGAATGTTACAATATAACTGTATTCTTAAGTTGAACATAATTAAAAACAACACCAATGCAAAGCTTTTTATATCGTTGGGATGATATGAACTTATTTTAAACTTAAACGATTTGTTGACTTGTGCACTCAAGAAACTATGTATTTGCTAATTAGAAAGTTTTTTAGTATTTTTTTTCCTTATTTCACATAAGAGCAACACCATTGAAAAATGTTTTTTAGATTATTAATAGAGAAAAGGTTAAAAAATGATCAATGAACTATTATGTTTGTCTATTTTTCGTCACTCCCATTTTTAGGTAATGGATTTTTCAAAATCGTATATTTTAGTCGCTTAATGGTTTGTAAATTATCCATTTTTAGATAATAAGCCTTTTAAGACTGTTTTATTTTAATCACGTAATTAGATAATAGTTATAACCTGTTAAAATGATTGAAATTAGATGATTTTGAAAAGTTCATTAATTAGAAATAAACAAAACTTATTTGTATGGATAATAGAAGATGATTTTAGAAAAAATTATTACCTGAAAATGAAAAAAATAGATTTAAATAAAAAAAATTATTGGTCATTGTTAACCTCTTTTTCATTATTAATATTAGATTATAACTTGAACTATTTTTTTTTTTACCATGGTAAGAGATATGTTATTGAGTTCTATGGCTTTTTATCAACCTATGTATTTGATGAGTTCTATGGCTTTGTTTTTACTAATTACCTCATTTAAATATTTTATTTGAGAAAAAATTACAAAAATAATCATTTTTGATAATTAATTTGTAGAACAAAAAACAAACAAACAAGATTATAATTTTAGTCACTAAAATTGCATATGGATCAGGACCA